ACAAAATACTTGACACCTATAATTTAAAGGAGGAGAAGTTCATTTTGGCTCACAGTTTTAGAGATTTCATTCCATGGTCGGATGGCTCCAAGGTAGATAAATCATGGCAGAAGATCATGGTGGGGGAAGGCTGCTTACCTCACAGCATCCAGAAAGTACAGCCCAGGAGGAAGGGACCAGGAACCAGGTAGAGTCCCCAAGGTCATGCTCCCATGACCCACCCAGACATACTCAGATTATGCTTTAGTAATCTTTTAAGTGTCTCTCAAGTTAATCAAGTAGATAATCAGTATTAACCATCATACACCGGGAGGCTGAAACAGGATGATCACAAGCTTGAAGCCAATGGTCAATTTAGCAACTTTGTAAGGCACTGTCTCAACAAAGTTTTAGCAAAGGCTGGGGATGTAGCTCAGTATAAAGTCCCTGGGTTCCATCTCCAGTACTATCCACCCCCCAAAAGGATAAATCATCACAAATATAGAATTCTTATATTTAACAGACACTTTAAATAGTTCAGCCATGCATACACATATATTCCTCTGTGGATTAAATCACCTGCAGATTAAATTTATAGTTTCTCTACTAGATTATTTCCAGTGAGAGAAAAAAACAGTATTGACAATTTTAGGATTTTTTTTTTTTTAAATTTCTCCTGTGAATTTGTGAACAGGCTTACCAACCAAGTACCTTCTTTGTTAAAACCTTTGGATGATGCAGCACTTGTTTTTCTTTTTTTTTTTAATTTTAAAGAGAAAAAAATTTTCAAAGAATAAATAGGCAAAAACGATTAATGTATTTCATATTATCTTTAAATTAGTTACTCAAGAATACATGGTATTGGCATTTAATTGTCCAAATAATATTAGCACAAACCTTTCTTTTTAGTGAACTAAAAGAAATTAGTAGTATAATTATCCTATCTTTTATGTACTTTTTTTTTGCTTTTCCCTTCTTTTCTCCATTACCCCACCCCAATTTCTCTTTCCTTTTAAAGATTCTTCCCATTTTACAGTGTCTTTTGTACATTTTGGATCTTATTTATTCTTTCATCTTCTCACACTAGGGAGACAATACAATGTTGCACGTGTGTCTGGTTTATTTTACTTATGAGTATGGTCTCAGGTTGAAGCCATTTACCTGTAAAAGTCTCCAGTTTATCCTTCTTTATCATTGAGTAATAGTCTAGTGTAATAAAAGACCACATCTTTTTTATCCATTCCTCAGTAGATGGGCATCTGGGTTGTTTCCAAGATCTGCCTATTAAAATTGTGCTGCTATAAACATGGGTACATATATATCTCTGTGGTACAGTGTTTTTAATTCTTTCTGAAAAAATACCCAGAAGGGGAATACCTGGGTCAAATAGGCCCTTCAGTCCTAGTTTTTTGAGGAATCTCCACATGGATTTTCAGTGGTTTTACCAGTCTACACTCCCACCAAGAGTGGAGAAGGATTCCTTTTTCATCACAGCCCCTCCAGCATTTGTTATTAGTTGATTTCTTGATAATAGCCATTTTTTCTGGTGTGAGAAGGAATCCCAGTGTTGTTTTAATTTGCATCTCTCAAATGACCAGTGAAGTTGAACATTTTTTTGTATATTTATTTGCTATTTGTATTTCTTCATCTGACAAATGTGTATTCATCTCAGATGACCATTTGTGGATTGGGTCTTTAAATTTGAGAAGTCTGATTTTTTGTGTTCTTTGTATGTTCTCAACAGTAATCCTTTGAGAACATCTGGCAAACATTTTTTGCCATATTGTGGGCTGTCTCTTCACTCTGTTAGTGGTTTCTCTTGCTGTGCAAAAGCTTTTTAATAAGATGAGATCCCAGTTACTGATGCTTTGTGATAGTTCCTGTGTGATCGGGATTTTAGTTATAAAATCTTTGCCTACACTAATGTCTTCAAGAGTTTTACCTATTCTGTCTTCAAGCAGATTTAATGTTTCAGGTTTAATGTTTAGATCTTTGATCCGTTTCAAATTTAGTTTAGTGTGTGGTGAAAGATACAGTCCAGTTTCAATCTTCAGCATGTGCAGTCAGTTTTTCCATCACCGTTTATTAAAGAGGCTATTTTTCTTCCAGTGAATGTTTAACACCTTCATCAAAGATAAGGTGGCTGAGTATGTGTGGAGTTGTTTCTGTATCTTCTAATCTGTTCCAATAGTCTTTGGGTCTCTCTTTTTTTTTTTTTTTTTTTTGGCCAGTACCATGCTGTTTTTATCACAGTACCTTTATAGTATAATTTCAAGTCAGGAATTGTGATCTCCCCTGCCTTGCCTTTGTTGCCCAGAATTGACTCTGCTATTCTAGTTTAGGTCTTTTCTGGTTCCAAATGAGTTTTAGGATTGCTTTCTCAAATAGTGTGAGATATCCTGTTGGAATTTTGATTGGAAATGCATTAAATCTGTTTAATAGTTTTGGAAGTATGGCCATGTTCATTATATTGATTCTTCCTACCCAAGAGCAAGGGATATCTTTCCATTTTCTGATATCCTCTTCAATCTCCTTTTTCAGAGTAATGTAGTTTTCCGTGTAGAGGTCTTTTACATCCTTCAGTAGATTGATTCCTAGGTATTTCAATTTTTGGATGCCATTGTGAAATATTTCCCTGATTTCTCTCTCAGTGAGTTTGTTATTCATGTACAGGAAGTCTATTGACTTTTGAGTGTTGGCTTTATATCCAGCTACCCTGCTTAATTTGCTTACTAAATCTAGAAGTCTTTTGAAGCAGTTTTTTGGGGTCTTCTATATAGAGTATCATGTCATCTTTTAATAATGATAATTTAATTTGTTCCTTTCCTGTTTTTATTCATTTTATTTATTTCTTTTGTCTAAGTGCTCTGGCTAAGGTTTCCTGAACTATATTGAATAAGAGTGAAGACAGTGGACAACCTTGTCTTGTTCCTGATTTTTGAGTGAAAATTCTCAGTTTTTAGCCATTTATTACAATATCGGCTATTGGTTTGTCATAGATGGCATTTATCACATTGAGATAAAGACTGTAGGGTTGTTTTTTGTTTGTTTGGTTGGTTTTTTTTTTCAGTTTTCTGTAGGGTGTTTATCATGAATGGTTGCTGGACTTTTCAAAAGCTTTTTCTGCATCTAACTACCCTTTAGCTTACTATATGTATAACAGATATGCTATATTTATAGTTTTTCTACAGTCATTAGCTAGTTCTTACCCACATTGACTGCTGATTTTTTTTTTTAAATGTTAGATATATAGATTACTCAAGTATGGAGCTTGTTTGGTGAATATTCATTCTCGTTATGTTTTCTGGATATCCACTCATAAATACAACATGGAACTTTCCCTTATTCCTTCGGCTCAGACAGTTTTGTGGGGATGGTGTCAAGGTGCATATCTGGAGTATTCATTCCCTTCATGGTAAATCTCTTCATTGCTGAGTGCTTGAGTGGTAGGTATATTTGTGAAGCCCGCTCCACAGTGTACTTGGTCATTGTTGTGGTGGTGTATTTTGGGGTTAACAGGTTGTTGATGACAGAACAGCCACTTCCTTTGTAGCAACTGCTGTTCTCCCAGGCACAAATTGTTAAGGAAGAGTGTGAGGGGTTGGGAGAAAGGGAAAACCATCCACATCTGAATGTATGTATCACCCATATAATTCACACAGTTATTTATAGCCTTATGTGAATGCCAGTGAGGTATGGACAACCACTATCCAATTGTTTAGAATTTCTAGTTCATAAATTATTTGATATTTTGTTTTTGTATGCCAGCTTCTCCTGTTATTCTGGCATTATATGGCTATATTTGCCCTGATTTTTTCTATACATTCTCTCCTTTTATAGTACTTCCCTGAGTTTCTTGGGCAGTGAGTCATACTTCATTAAAGCATTTGAGTATAGGCAAAGTAATACATGCAGATAATTTTTATACTATTTACAGTATATAGGAGTGATACTTTCTAAAATTGATCTAGAATGTCTACTTCAATACCTTTTGATTTTCTGAATACCTAATTTGGAGATGAAAAAAATCTAGAATTTGGAGTGAGTCTCAGATTTTGCTGACTGTTTCACTAGTAAAGATAGCTTTTGAAATATATTTAGTATTTTAAATATATGAATTAATACCCAGTATATATTACCATGTAGACAGTACTAGTATCCAGATACAAAGACCAGAGTTTAAAATTATCTAGCTTCATAAGAACATAAAGCTGACTATAACAAGTCATTAAGATTTGTACTAATTACAGTTCTTATTGTTCTTATGGTGCATACACTCAAAGTTAAAATGCCTCTAAAAAGAAATTTAAGAACCAGGTTGGGGTAGTGTAGTGGTTTAAAATCCAAACTTCTAGGCATCAAACCCAGACTTGAAAGCCAACTTCGCAGCCGGGTAACCACAGGCAAGTTTCTTAAACTTCGTTTTCTCATTTGAAAATGAGAATACAGCCAGTCTGTGAAAATAAAATGAGATTATATATATAAAGTATATCAAGTAATGGAAACCTTTTAGAGTTTTCAGGGATAATAAACAGCCCGCTGTGGCATGCATGCCATAGATTCATCACCACTGACCTGCCTAGTGCATAGCATGTATTATAACTGTTACAATGATTGTTAATTAAAAATTTGGTATAAAAGTAGCAGTGTGAGTGTTTAGTGCTATGTGTAGCACCATGTTTTTTGATATGTGTAAATTTGTAAAAACTAGTGCAAGCCTATTTGCTATATCACAGTGTTGTTTTTCCTACTAAAGACTGTAAGATTGGTGGTCTGACAGTGGAACTCTGGGTAGCAGATGAGAATGTAGCAAAGGGAAAAGTAAAAAAAAATACTGAGAAAAGGATGAAAGAAGAAAAAAGGAATTGAGATGTGGAGAAAACAGATTCCTCCTCCACTGCCCCAAAAGAAACAAAAAGGAGGCAGAAATCAAGAGTTAACAAAAGTACGAAGAGGACAAAAAAGGTAATTTGGGGGACACTCTTCTTAACATAATTTTCTACATATTTCTGTCTTTACAGATATTCCTTTATCATTTTTCATGTATGGGCTGAGTCCTGACTGTAACCGTGTGATACTAAATATCATTGAAGAGTGGTAAGTATTTCAAATAATGACTGCTTACTACTATTTATACTATTATGTTGGTTTTTTTTAATGTACTTTGGGTAAATGCTTCTACTTTGCAATTGAATAATTTAGTAGTTAAAAAGACATGTAAATGTAAATGTATTTTATCACACATTAGGATACTTTTCAAGTATGTAAATATTTATCATGGTGCTAAATATTGGTTATTTTCTTAGTCCTTTCATGTTGCTGTAACAAAATATTATAATTTATTTATCATACTTTTGGAGGCTGGAAAATCCAAGGTCAGACAGTAACAGATTCTGTGTCTGATCAGATCCTGCATCTCATAGATCATATCTTTTCACTACATCTTCACATGGCGGAGAGCTACTTCATGTGGGCCTCTTTAATAAGGCACTAATCCCATTTATGAAGGTTCTGCCCTCAAGACCTAATTCCTTCCTAAATGCCTTACCTCAAATACCACATCATCTATAGTCAAACCTTGTTAAAGGATGTGAGAGAATGAAGGGTAGACCTCATAAGTCACTACAGTGAATTTGACCTTTATTTAAGTGTATGTCTTTACAAATGTTGATATGTAAGCCATTGAATAACATGTACATTTACATAATGAAATGTTATAATGACTTCATTTATGTTGAATCTGAAATCAGTAAGGAAAAATGATTTGATGTTCCTGAGTGGACCAACAAATAAGATCACAGCATTTTTTTAAGTTAAATAAAAGCAGTATTATTAACAGATGAATTTTACTGATAACAGTTTAGGGGCATCATCTGACCCTTTAAAAAAGCTTAGTTTCAAGCTTTCAGTCTATAAAAAAACTGTATTCTTTTAACTTCTTCATAATCCATGTCACCAGGTCCACAAACATACGTTGATAATCAGTTTGTGCAAGATTATATATTAATCGGGAGCATTATTTCTTATAGTTCTGGAGGCTGGGAAGTTTTAAGATCAAACTGCTGGCAGATTGACTATCTGGCAAGGCGCTTCTTCTTAGTTCATAGACAGCTGTCTTTGTGCTGTATCCTGATAAAGTGGAGCTCTCTGGGGTCCTCTCTTTAATAAGGGTACTAATCCCATTGATAAAGGTACCATATGTGAAGACCTAATCACCTCCTAAGGGCCCTGCTTCCAAATAACTTTTATTTTTCCTAGCGGGTTTTTAGTTCTTACATTTAGGCCTTTGATCCATTTTGAGTTCGTTTTACACATAAAGTAAGAGTTCAAAATTATTCTTTTCACATGAGTGTCTGGCACTATTTGTTGTAGACTGTCCTCCCAGTAAATGATCTTGGCACCCTTGTGAAACATTTCACCATTTATGTGAGGGTTTATTTTTGGTCTCTTATTATAGTGCATTGATCTAGATGTGTTTGTGGCCATACCAGACTCCAAAGAATATGAGTTTACGGAAATGAATGAATGAATGAGTAAATAATATGTATACCTCAATCGTACAGAAGCAACGTATTATAAGCAAAAGATGACAGAAAGGATAGAGAATCAGACTTATGGGACTCAGTTTTGGACTTACTGGATACATATTTTTTAAAGAAAGAAGTGATTTAAAATAGGGAGAGTAAGAAAAAATTTTAAAGAGCCATATAGAGTTCTTACAAGTGAATATAGTCATAATTGAAATTAAAAACTCTGTGGACTAGCAGAGCTTAGATACAGCTGAGGAAAGAATCAGTGGACCAGATGGGTTTTAGATACAAAAGACGAAATGTGGCGTTAAGAAATGTGAAGAATAAAGGTGGAAGTTTAAACATTGGTAATTAGAAGTTTTATTTTAAGAAAATAGAACAATTGCCACAATAATAAAGATAAAATCAAGAATTTCACATAAATTTTTAACCAAACTGTGAGATAGGTGTAAGAAGTCCATCATATACTTAGTCTACAATGAAAATGCAGAAAAAAGCAATAAAAAGATGTAAAAAGCTATGAAAGAAAATATTATCCACAGATGAATGATAGGTTGAGAAGGTTTCTTTATGTATGTTGGAAAAAGGACGAGCTGAACCTGGGCCCTCACGCCGAGCTACATCCCCAGCCCTTTTTTATTTTGAGACAGGATCTTGCTAAATAAATAGCTAAATTTCCCCAAACTGAGCCTCCCAGAGTGCTGAGATTATAGGCGTGTATCATCATGTCCAGCTGGAAGTGATTATTTCTTCAAAGGAATAGTGAGTGGCAGTCGGTAATGCAGTAATACCTTTAGAATATTTAGAAAATGTAGCAGTTAATTGAAAATTTTATACCCAGAAAAATTTAACCTGATAAAGCATGTCTATACAAATTGTTACCCTATTAAATTGTATAAAACATAAAACATTTCCTTTAAATCAGGGGCAAAATCAAAATGCTTGCATTGTCATTTATAGTCAACAGTAAACACAAGAAGGGATACAAGAGGCAGAAAAGGCTAGGCCTGGTAGTGCACACCTAAGGCCCACTGTGAATTTGGGACTCAGGCAGGACAATCGCTTAAGCTCAGGAATTCTGGACCAGCTTGGGCAATTTAGTGAAACACCCCCATCTCAAAATACAAAAATAGGGGCTGGGGATTTAGCTCACCAGCAAAGCGCCTGCCTGGCAAGCGCAAGGTCGTGAGTTCGGTTCCCGGTACTGGAGAAAAACGAACAAAAACAAAAAAAACAATCAAAATACAAAATAAAACATCAAAAAAGAAAAAAGAAAACCAAAAAGTCAGAAAAAACAAAACTAAAATTTTCTTTATTAGAAGTAAAAAAGTAGTAATAAAGGCCAAGCAGAGAGAGATGAGTTATTAAGAGACCAAGAAAGCAACTATTTATGATTTGTATCTCATTGTCCCTCCAAAACCTCATGCAGTCAGAGGTGGGGCTTTTTGGAGTGGCTGGATCTAGGATGTGTGATGCTGGGATTGATTCATTTTGCAATGAAGGGTGAGTAGCCTGAATAAGATATTTAGGACAGAAAGAGGTGATTGCTTGCTGTTGCTGCCTTACTGCCTTCTGCCTTCCCTGAACTGTTAACTGCTTGTCCGTGCCACCCTGCCTTGGAGCCAGCAACTATGAATTGAAACCATTACAAACTATGAACTACAATAAACCTTTAATTTTGAGTGTCACATATTTTGTCTAACTAAGACAACAGAACTGAGAAATAGCTATAAAAACTGTGATTATGATGTCATAGAAGACTGGCATTGACTGTATTGTTTCAATAACAGGTTGGTCGGAGTATCAGACACAGAGAAGCCTAGGCATATTAGGAGCTGGAAATATACTTTTGAGGTGAAAAGACTGATGTGGGAGTTATTGGCAATTTTGAAGATTGCTATTTAGATAGAGTAATTGAGGTAGAAGTCAAAGAATGAAGAGGAAGTAGAATTGAGCTAGACATGCCCCTGGTAAAAGTCTGGATTTTTGAATGATCAAGTTTGAGCCAGTTTAAATATCGAAAAGCAAAGTATAGGGAAAAAACTTAGTATACTTCTGTATGATTGAGAAAATGGGGAAAGTATAGGAGAAAAAGCCCTGAAATGGAACTCAGGAGACTTTATTTAAAACCACTCTTGGATATTTAAATGGCTTCACCTACAATAGAGTTGACAAACTTTCTGTAAAGGGCTGGAATGGTAAATATTTTAATCACTGTAAGCCAGATGATCTATTCCACACTTACTTAACTGTATTCTTTTAACAGGAAAGTAGCCTTATACAATAAGTAAGTGAAGGGGCATGGTTTTGTCCCAGCAAAACTTGCAATAGATACTGAAATTTGAATTTCATATAATTATTTATATGACATGAAATACTCTTTTTTGTTTTTGTCTTTTTGAGACAGGGTCTCACTATGTAGTTCAGGCTAGCCTAGAACTCACCTTGTAGCCCAGGCTAGCCTAGAACTCAACTTGTAGCCCAGGCTGACCTGGAACTCAAGGCAATCCTACTGCCTCAGCTTCCCGGGTGCTGGGATTATAGGCATGCGCCACAACACCCATTGAAATACTCTTTTCTAAAAGTCATTTAAATATGTAAAGATTTATGAGCCCACATTTTTACAAAGAATGTGGGCCTTCCAGAAACAGGAGGGGACTGGGTTTGGCCTAGAATCTAGAGGTTGTCAATTCCCCATCAGAAAGTTGAAGTATATTACATGTCTCCATTCTGTAGTCTTTTGGGGGGGGATGGAGGGAGGAGTCTTTTTGAGACAGGGTCTCACCATGCAGTTCAGGCTGGTCTTGAACTCATTTTGTAGCCCAGGCTGGCCTGGAACTCTCAAGGATCCTCCTGCCTCAGCCTCCCAAGTGCTAAGATTACAGGCGTGTGCCACCACGCCCAGCTTCTGTAGTCTTAACTGAGAAATTCTTCACTTTAAGTACTTCTATAGTTTATCATCTATATTACCTGATTTAACCTTGTATTTATTAGAGTAATTGTATGTCTCAGTCATTGAGAACTTTGCAGAAGAACCTCAGAATTTGTTTTGTGACTAAAGTTCCAAGAGTATTCTTTCCCAAGATAACTAGAAGAGGGATGATTTTACTATAACCATCATTATGTTTTCTTTAATAATATTTTGAATTAGATTTTTAAAATGTATTTGGGGATGGGAAATAAATGGAAAACAACATTATTTGCCACAAATAAAAGGAATTGTAAAAAGTGAAAACAGAACAGTGTTATTTGCTAGAAGGCCTTGAAACTGTCGCATTATATTCTTCTTGTGAAATGTTGAAGTTCAGAAGATTGTGTGAAAATTTGAAAGGGAATTGATGAAAACTTTGTGTATTAAAATAACCTTGAGTAGTTGCCTTTGTCAGGCAGCTTTTTCACAGCTGATACCAGTTAATAGTATTTATAAAGAAAACAGCAACTGATTTTAGTTAAAATAATTGTTTTATTATAAAAGGCCTTTTGGTAGCAGGTATAAGATTTTGCTAGTTTTAAAAATAATAATAATCTCATCTTTAACTAGTGCTCTGGAGAATTCAAATTCCTAATTTTTAAGGATAGTCTTTCTAAATATATTATACTCCCTTCCAGTGACTAATCTGCCAGGTCAGTGTGGCAGTTCCAACAACTTTCTCTGGAGCTGGTATATTTTAAGTATATTCTTTCTTTCTTTCTTCTCCTTTTCTCTTTTTTATGTTTTTGTTTTTGTGTTTGTTGTTTTTTGAGAAAGGATCTTACTGTGTAGTTCAGGATGGCCTTGAATTCACCATATAACCCAGGCTGGCCTCAAACTCACTTTGTTCCTCCTGCCTCAGCCTCCTGATGCTGGGATTGTAGGCATACACAAAACACCTGGTTTAAGGATATTCTTTTTACAAAATAATGTCCCACTAGTGTGTGTCAGTGTGGCTAGATGAAGGAAGGACCAGTTAATTTTCTTCTCTTCTGTCTAGCGATCTTTGTCTATTCTCTGTTTTCATCCATGGTTGATAGGAAGTTTGTACAGTCTGCTTTTATTTAAGGGCACAAGAAGAGTAAGGGGTTGAGGGGATGATCCTTTATGAATCTTACACTGAATCTTATCCTTTGTGACCCTTCTGTAGAATTTTGGCATCTCCTAATATGCATTATGATGTAATGTTTGAACTAAGCAGTAAGTATCAAGAAACCCATGAAATGGTATGAAAAATACCTACTTAGATATATTTCTCTGTTTGGTTCTCTCCATAACTTCCTTTAATATCCAGTTTGAGTTCTGCCTGAGAAATTAAGTATCAATGTTTGGTGCAGGGGGTGATGGTATGGTGAGGGTAGAAAGACAAGAAAGGGAAAGGTGTAAAAGGAAGGGGAGAAGTATCTTTGTTACTAATACAAAGGTATATGATGTTGTCTTCACATTTGTGAATATTATGGGGCAATAACCAATGAGCAATTGACAGTTGTTAGCCATCACCTAACTATAATGATAGTCATGCAGTAATTGATTAAGTTTCTCTTAAAGCCAGAGGTTCTGATTAAAGAGAATATCATAAACAAAGAAAAAAAAAATGCTACAATAAGGAGAGAGTAACATTTTAGTACACATGTGTGTAGGGAAAATGATTTTAAAGAATCGTTATCTGGTAAGAACTTTATGAAATAGTTATATCAAGAAACTTTTAAGTTTTTTGGGACAAAGAAGCATTTGGTTACCCAGTCATAATGATACAAATTATAAAGAAACTGTGTTAAAGGCTAAAGTTTTTTTGGGTTTTTTTTTTTGTTGTTGTTGTTTTTTGTTTTTTGTTTTTTTTTTTTTTTTTGGTTTTTTGAGACAGGGTCTTGCTATGTATGCTATATATATGGTTCAAGCTGACTTTTAACATAATAAGTATCCTAGGCTGGCCTCCAACTTGAGGCAGTCCTCCTGTCTCAACCGCCTGAGTGCTGGGATTATAGGTGAGCACCACCATGCCCAGCTAAAAAATATAATTTTAATGTTACCATAAAAACCAAAATTGTTAATTCATTTCCTATACTGGTTAATGTGGCTAATTGAGATTGAAACCTGTTGACAGTGCAACTAAGACTATATCATTATTCAGTTCCATCATAAAGCTTTTAATGAGTTTATTGCTATCACCTCTTAAATATTTATTGATCACTTGCTTAATAACTTTGGGTTGATTTTTAGGCCACAAACGAAATGGAAATGAAAGAAATTTCTGAACAGAAGACATTATGGAAAATGAGTTCAACCAGGGAATCCTTACCAGTAACTGGTATAGAAGTGAGTCCTTTGAAGAAATTCACCATTCCAAAGATCAGGAGGGCAGCTGGGAAAGGTAAAATTTCTATGGAAGATGGGAGTTTTAAAATAACTATTGCTTTAGTGTTTCTCAGATTCTTAATGTTCATCCCCTACTTTGACTACATGAAATTTAGTTAAGTCTCTTAATTCCTTAAACATACCTGTGCTTCTCTTACTGCACAGTGTGGAATAGATACCTATTTACCTGTATAGAAGTAGTTTACTTCTGTCCCTTCCAGGAAATACACTAAGAACTCTAGAAATTATAGTAAAACATATGTAAGACTTTCAAAGTAGAGAGGAAACCATGAACCAGCTAAGAAATGCAGGACTTCAAGGAATGTTGTAACAGTCCTCCAGATTTTCTGTTTCCTCCATATTTCAGACTGGATGCCTACAACTGAGAAATACCAACTAGTGCAGACACCACACACATACACACACAAAGCCCTAAGAAAATCTTGTCATCTTTGGCCAAAGAACAGAAAGGGGAGCAGCCTAGAAAGATACAAGCCTCACTCCTGCAGAATACCATGGGTTGGGGGATACTCAAATCTTGCACTTTTGTCAGCAAATGTTAAGTGAAAGAGATGTGGGTCTGTGTGTGCAACTCTCCCTTCCCATAAGGGTGGAGGAAGCCAAGTGGGGAGCCCCAACTCCCAATAGCCCTCTCCCCCTCCGCATTCCCCACTCCCTGCCAGTGGTGACCAAATATGGAGCCTAGACTTTTACCACCACATAGCAGTAACATGTTCTCATCTCTGCCATCCTCTCCCTGCAGTATTCATGAATTTCCATCTCTATGGGGATCAGTTGCCGCTTCCCACTAGAGGGGAGTCACTGAACATGAGGTACAGAGCGAGGATGCTAACCAAATCCAGCAATAACAAGGAATCTGTCTCCTACCAGGAAGTCAGTGGAGGCACAGTAAGGCACAAACTTCCACCCCTTTGTAATGGTAACAGGATATCCCCCAGGGTGTCAGTAGATGCTCTGTGGAGAGCAACAACATCAGTCTTTCTGGGTGGTCCAGAGTTAGTGCTCCTCTTTCACTGTCAGCATGGTTTAGTAAAAGGGTACTAAAATAGTAGATTTAAAATGTGATCCAAAATCTCAAAACAATACCCAGAATGTCCAAAATAAACTAAAAATTATGCAGCTTCTTCCTCACCAGGAAATCCTCACCCTGAATGAGAAAAGATATTAGATGCTAATACTGACGTGATACAAGTGTTAGAATTATCTGACAGTCTTTTAAAGCAGCCATCATAAAGATGTGTGAATGAGCAGTTACAAACATTCTGCTAAAGAAATTGGATCAGTAATATTCTTCCAAAACACAAAGCATTAGGCCCAGATGAGTATGCTGGTAAATGCTGCCAAAAATTTAAGGAATAAATTATACCATTTCTCTGTAACTCTGTCAGAAGATAGAAACAAAGGGAATACATTCTCTTAAATATGTGAAGCTGGCACCACTATAATATCAAAAACAAGATAAAGACATTGCAGGAAAAGAAAGCTAAAGATCAGTATCCATCATAAAAATGGATGCAGAAATTCTCAACAAAGCATTAGTAAATCAAATCCAAAAGTGTGTGAAAAGAATTTTATACCACTGCCAAGGGGGATTTATCCCAATTACGGCTTGTTGAACGTTTGAAAATTAGTTACTGTAATCTGTGAGATCAACAAACTAAAAAAGATCATATGATTGTAACAGTAGATGCAAAGAAAGCATTTGACAGAATCCAACATCCATTCATGACAAAATTCTCAGTAAACTAGGAACAGAGTGCAGTTTCTTTAACTTGATGACAAATAGGAGTTGACCATCCCACAGATGTGAAATCCAAGATGCTTCAAACTCTAACAAAGCTTTTGAAGTGCTATATATTATGATGCTTTAAGCCTTTGAAGCATTTCAGATTTTTGAGTAGGGATGCTGAAGTGATAAAAGTCTAGGCAAATATTCCAAAATTTGAAAAAGTGTGAAAAGCTTGTAATGACAAGCATTAAGGATAAAGGATATTCAACATGTGTATACAAAAAGCATACAACCAGCTTCATATTTAATAGTGAGAAACTTGAAGCTTTCACACTCAGGAACAATATCTTCTTTCAATACTGGTTTTCAACTTAGTACTGGAAGTCAAGGAAATAAAAGTGTACAAATTGGAAGAGAAAAAATAAATCTGTCCTTATTCATGAACATGATCATCTATGTAGAAAATCCAGAAGAATCAAAAATGTGAAAGAGAATAAAAATGTCTTGGAATTTGAAATGTAAAACACAATAGCCTTTAAATTAGTACCAAAATGAAAATACTGAGTGAAGTATTTCATATTTCATGAGATACTGAATGAAATATTTCAAAAATGAAATACCCAGATTTAAATCTAACAAAATACAAGATTCCTATGAGGAAAACTACACAATCTGTATGGAAATCACTGAAGAGGCCAATGAAGGAATTATATGTTCAGAAATAGGAAGATTCAATATTGTCAAAATATCTATATTTAACAGCTTGACGTATAAATTCATTATAATCTCAGTAAGCCCTTTTGTCGATCAGCAAACTCTTGGTAAAAATTAGAGAGAAGCAAAAGTATCCAGATAGCCCAGTCAGTACGGAAAGAGAAGAAAGAGAACTGACACTCCTTTAAGCCATACAATAAAGCTATAATAGTACAATGTGGCATTGGCAAAAGAATAAGTTAAAAAATCAATGGGACAGAGTAGCCCAGAAATAGACTCACATAAATATAAATGTACCTCTTGACAGGAGAAGCAAAAGCAATACAATGGTGAAGATAATCTTTTAAATAAATGATGCTGGAATGCTGTAATTGGACATTTCACTGCAGAAGAATGAATCTAGATACAGACCTTACACCCATCACAAAAGTGAACTTATACCCATCACAAAAGTGAACTCAAAATGAATCACAATTCTAAGTGTAAAGTGCAAAACTCTAAAACTCACAAAAGCTAACTTAGAAGAAAAGCTAGATGACTGAGTTTGGTATAATCTGTGGAAAAAAACTATTGATTAGCTGGACTTTTTTAAAATTCAGTTTTTTACTGAGCATGGTGGGCACAACTGTAATTCCAGCACTGTGAGAGACTGAGGCAAGAGGATCACACATTCAAGCCCAGCCTGCACAACTTACTGACTTGGTTGAGACCCTGTCTCAAAAAGAAAAAAAGTCAGAAGGGCAGAGATGGTAGCTTAGTTTGAAGGCCCTGAGTTCAATACCTAGTAACACGCGCGCGCGCGCACACACACACACACAAAGTAAATTTAAAATTCTTTTCTTGTGGCAGACACTGTCAAGCCAAGCATGTTGCACACACGTGTCATGGCAGTTAGTTGGGAGGCTGAGGCAGGAGGACAGCAAAACAGGGATAAGTGAAATTTCTTTCAAATGGCTGGGGCTGTAGCTCAGTGATAGAATGCTTACCTAATCCCCAATATCACTAAAAACAAACCAAAACACTGGACAGTGAAAACAGTCCACAAACTTAGAGAACATATTTGCAAAATACATGAAGAACTGTTAATTAAAATGTGCAAAAAAACCCTCTTAGATTGCAACAAAAGAAAACCAATTTAAAAGTGGCAGTACTGAGTTCAAGGCCAACCTGGGCTACATAGTGAATCAAGACCAGCCTGAACTACACAGTGAGACCCTGTTTTAAAAAAAAAAAGACCAAAGACCCTAAGACCCTTCAACAAAGACAAAGAGATGGTAAATAAGCATATTAAAAGATGTTCTGCATCTTAAGTCATCGCACAAATGCAAATTAAAACGATGGGATACCACTACACACGTACAGAACATTGATGATACCAAATGCTAATGAGGGTGTGGAGCAATAGGAAGTCTCATTCATTGTTGGTGGGGATACATAATGGTTCAGCTAATTTCAGAAGACATTTGGCAGTTTGTTATAAAATTAAACACACAGTTAACATATGCTATAGCAGTCATGCTGCTTGGTATTTACCCACATCAGTTGAAAACTTATGCCAACACAAAAACCCAAACATAGATGTTTATATCAACTTTAGTTGTCATTGCCAAAACTTTGGTACATGAATAAAGACAATGGAATGTTATTTAGTCCTGAAAAAGAAATGTGTTATCAAGCCTAGGAAGGAAATGGAGGAATCTTAAATACAAACTACTAAATTTAAAAAACCAGTCTGAAAAGGCTATGTGCTGTATGATTCCACCTGTTTGACATACTGGAAAAATAAAACTATGGAAATGGTAAAATGATCAGAATTGCCAGGGTTTGGGGCAGCAAAAGAGAATAGTAAACAGAGCAAGGGAAGTACTTCTTAGACAGTAAAACTACTTTGTGTGATACAGTATTTGTGATTATACATTTATCAAAAGCATGAAGGTACCACACCAAGAGTGAACATTAATGTAAACTATAAACTGGTAGTGGCAAACCTGTGGCATGCATGCTACAGCCAGCTATTCATTATCATTGAAAACGCTAAAAAGATCAGCATCACTGGTACAGACTCTTAACTGGTAATTACATATCAGTGTAGGGTCATCATTTGTAGCAAATATGCCAGTCTGTTGAGGGATATTAATGTTGAGGGAGGCTAGTCGTGTGGGGATGTAAAGTGTGTGGGGGCATAGAGTGTATGGGAAATATCTGTACCTTTCTCTCAAGTTTTGCTGTGAATGAAAATTCTCTTCAGAATAATCTGTGACAGAAGAAAAAACACTCATTGGATAAGTTCAGGAGAAGACAATAGGAAGAATCAGTGAATTTGGATGTAGAACAGTAGAAATTATCCAATGGGAGTGACACAGAGAAAATAGGAAAAATGAGCAGAATCCCGGAGAGTTGTGAAATAATAAGAAAATGATCTAATATCTTGGTCATTATAGTGCCAGAAGTAAAAGAGAAAGTATGGGGCTGAAAAAAATACTTCGAAGAAATACTGCCTACAAATTCCCAGATTTGGCAAAATGTCCATAAACTTTGTGTATTCAAAAAGC